ACGTAGTAAATAAGGGAGCAGGTCTGGGAGGATGGATGGATCAAACATGGGACTTGCACCCAGGAGACCGCTGTCTGTGTCTGGTGTGAAACTTTATTTTAACCCAACACATGATCTTTTAGTAAACCAGTGTTGTATCCTAAACCTAAACGTCATTGAGGATGCACGCGACCTGTCAAAACACTGTAACATTGATATATATATATATCTATGTAGAAATGTTGATATGAAACGTATCAGTGGTTTGCAGACATTGCAATTTATTATGCCCATTATATCAACAGCCAACAGAACCAAAATGGGTATTTTCAATATATTTGTAACATTTTAAGCCCTCCTCCTAACCCAGATGCTTTGTGCACAGGCCCTATGGTGCTTATTGGTGAAACCCATCACTTCCTATGTTTACTATGGCAGAAATATAACAACTTAATCCTCAAAATATTTAAAATTTTCTCTGACTGACTCCTGAATCCCTCCTGCTATGTGAACAACTGTGTCTTCAGTCTGTGATCTAAAGGGAACATCACCGCTGAGTTTGAGTCGTGTTGGAAAGGAAGTGCCAGAAAGAGGAACCGCACTGCTAACGCGAATCCCAGCTCAGAGTCGAGGGGCGGGTAGGTGGAGGAGGTGGAGGAGGGGTGGTGTGCTACAACTGCCTCAGCTGAGACAAAGCTTTAATTAAACGTGACCCACAATCCCTCATCATCCAGACAGAGACAGCAGCTGGACGGATCATTGGCGTGGAATTGGATGCTGCCCTACTATCGGGCCCGGTATCATGTAATCTCTTGGTTTTGTGTACATGGACACAAATTCTCCGTTTTTTTTCCGTGTCCCTCAGTACGAAATAAATGCCAATGAAAAGTCAATTAGGAGCCTTTTTCGTGGGGGACACACAAATTAAATGCATCCATGTGACGAAGCAACAGTCCGAACAACTGTTGGTTTTGTTGCCTGAACCTAACTTACTTTAACTTTTTTATCATGCTTTTAAGTATTCTTCTTTTCTTATAACTCAGCATATTTCCCCTCCTCCTCCACCAGGCTCGCTGAAAGTCGACACATCCCAGGATGGTAGTGGCGGCGGCGGGGACACCATCAGCCACTCCCTGACTGTGGTGCAGCGCCTGGAGGCCCTGCTGCTGCAGGGGAACGGCAGCGACGTGTCGCTGAGGGTGGAGACGCCCAGCGCCGATGAGGTGAAGGTGATCCAGGCTCACTCGCTGGTGCTCTCCCTGCAGAGCCCCGTGTTTGAGGAGATCCTGCTGAGCCGCAACGGCAGCACGCTGGTCCTGAAGGAGAGCTCCGACTGTGCCGCTGTGTTCGACAAGTTCATCAGGTGGGAGCGCAATGTTCATCTCCATGTGACACTTCAACCCTCAGTTGTGGTTGAGTTGTTAGGCCCTCTAGAGGGAGGGACTCTGCTACTGCAGCCCTACATCTGAGACAAGCAATCAATGAGTCCAACGCGAAACAAACCGACCAATCGGTGAACCGCTGTGCTCGATAACAGCTCCTGTGGTGTAGCAGTAAGACACTGAGGAGCCTGTGCTGCCACAGCAATCAATAACAAAATCTATTTCTATCTCAAATGCTAATGAGGTTGATTAAAACCTGAGCTACAGTAAACCTGCCATCTGCCAGACGGAGGAAATCTTTGTTCATATTAAACTGGAACTTTTCACTGAACGCCAAAATAAAAAAAGTGTTTTCAACCTTTGTAAGAAGCTGCTTTGAGGTTACTGAAAGGAACAGTGTGTAGCATGTATTAATCGTGAACGAGTAGGTAGGAGGGGCCAACTTTGAATGTTTTGTTTATAAACCACAACCGACAAATTCTACTCATTCTGCCTTTAAGACAATGACTGAATTCAGTCTAAGAGACACAATTTCTTAAAGCTGCACCAATCAATATTCTCAACAACAAATAAAACGGCAACTGTAGTTTTAAAGGGATCGTAACAAACTCACAGCTGTATGAAGCAGCTGTAGAAAGTTCTTCAGCCTCTTTTAGCTCATTGTTTTGGTTTTCAGCACATTAACTGTCTGGTTCAGTGTCCAAAAGCAGCAGGCAGTTTTTTTTTGCTGGACTAACTGGTGAACATAGTGGAGCATTTAGCACCCAAAAGTTGTTGGTGGAGAACAAAACAGAGCTGAAAGAGAGAGAATACTGAACTTAAATAGCCAACTGTTTGCTAACATGTTAGCCATAAAAGCTATAACATGTCAAGTTATAACATGATTTTTTTCTGCCAAGTGCCCAAAAAATGAAGTTGAATATTGAATGTTGATGTGGGTAAAACATTTTTTGAGAAGCTGTTTTAGGCTAAATGGTCACTTTCTGTATTTGTGTTGTGCTTCAAATGCTCCTTCATTAAACCTCAACTTCCTCTCTCTGAGCAGGTATCTGTATTGTGGAGAGATTTCTCTGCGCCTGGACCAGGCCACACCTTTACACAAGCTGGCCGCTAAGTACCAAGTAATGGGCCTCCAGCAGGGGATCACCCAGTACATGACCCAGAATCTGGCGCGGGACTCTTCCTCGGGCCACGTGGCGGGCTGGTATGAGTACGCCCTGCAGGCCGGGGACGCGACCCTGCGGGACAGCTGTCTTCAGTTCATGGCCTGGAACCTGTCGTCGGTGCTGCAGAGCGGAGAGTGGGCGACCATCAGCAGCCAGCTGCTCATGTCGCTGCTGCAGCGCTCGGACCTCATCCTGCAGAGCGAGATGGAGCTCTTCGCGGCGCTGGAGGCCTGGATTATCCAGAACGAGCCGGACGGCCTGACGGCGGAGAACGCGCTGAGATCCGTGCGTTACGCCATGATGCCGCCCCGGGAGCTCTTCCGCCTGCAGACCCACTCAACGGTCCTGGCTCGCTATCAGGAGTCGGTGCGCGACCTGCTGTACATGTCCTACCAGTTTCACTCCGCGTCGCCAATGCACATGGCCAAATTCTTCGACGTCAACTGCAGCCTCTTCATGCCGAGGAACTACCTGTCGGCGCTGTGGGGGTCGCCCTGGATCATCAGCAACCCCTCCAGAGACGACCGCAGCACCAGCTTCCAGACCCAGCTGGGGCCCAGCGGCCACGACTCCAGCAAGCGGGTGACTTGGAACGCCATGTTCTCGCCACGCTGGCTGCCCATTGGCATGAGGCCGATGTACACGGAGGCGGGCGCCATGCAGCCAACGCGTGTAGAGGGAGGGCGCCCTCGCATCATTATCACGCCGGCCACGTCCAGCGCGGATTTCGCCGGGGTGAACTTCCAGAAGACGGTGCTCGTGATGGCTCAGCAGCAGGGGAAGGTGGTGGTGAAGCACGTCTACAACTTCCACCAGAGCACGGAGGAAAGCGGGGATTTCTTGGCCGAGGCCGACCTGTACCGCCGGACGTCCGAGTACCTCATCGACAGCTCCCTCTTCCTCCATATTGTGGTGAAGCCGCTGTACCAAACCCTCATAACCATTAAGAACTGACCCTCCACCCTCCCCTTACCGAACACAATCCAACCTTGAGAAGCCACATCTCACTCATATCACATCACGGGGACCTGGATCTGAATCCTCCTCGTGCGTGATGTTTGGATCATCTGTCTCGTCTCATGTATCTGCTGTTTTCATTGGGCAACTAACAATCCCAAAACCCGTGACTATCTGAGAGCATTGTGTACCATCATGGTGAAACGTGTGTCTTAAAGGGTTAGTCTGGTGCTATTCTATATTTTTCTTAATGTCAACAAACCCGATGAAAAAGACCAATAGAATCGTGCCGGAAATCCGTCTGCATCATTTTCCAACAAGTTTTATTGAATTCTGCCGTTTCCATGCAGCTTTCTAAAGTGATACTTCATAATGCACACGAGTGACATGTTCCTTCATCACCACGAACACACAGTCCTGCTGCCACAAACGTGGATTCATCCGCCGCTGAAAATAGTCCCCTTCCATTTGAGTAATGCATGTTTAAAAACTACATTGCCCAGCTGTTTAAAGAAATTACTGAGCATTTTTGTTTAAATAAAACTATATCTTTCGGTTGTTTTTAAAAGATTTCAGCAGGAACCAATGTTCTTTGAGCTCAGAGCCACAGACTGTTGGTTTTGGTCTTTTCATCAATTTTGTTGAAAATAAGAAAAACAAAGAACATCGCCGGTCTCATCCTTTATGCTTGAGGTTCTTTTCCTTCGTTTTCTTTGTATTGTTTTTAAATATTGGTGCTATATGACCCCGTTTACAATCAAGGGGTCACCTTTGTCTTTCATCAGCCAGTGAGCACTGATTTGGTGATTCGCAGGTCACACAACATAGATGTCGAGATTAAAACTGTTGTTTCAGCAGCATTTTACTGGCTGTACGTCAACATGTTGTTTGGACTTACAAAGTGAAATAGTCATCAAATCAGTTCTTACTGGAAACCAAATGTTCATCCTGCTGAACTCCAGGTCTGTCATAATGTATTTACAAACCTCTCTTAACTTCTGTAGATGTCCGACTACCTTTTCATTAGTTCATGTATGTGATTAAAGTCATTACTTAGATCCACTGTTGCGTTAATCACTGTTACCTGATAAAGATTTTTAATAAAAGTTTGAAAGTTAACTGAAACTTGTGATTTCATGTTTTCATCACCTCACAAATAAAACAGGTTTTATTCAAGTTGTATTTACACAGCTCAAATGTGCAACACGTGACTCTGTACAGGTGAGGAACAACGAAAATCACGATATAATCAGTTTATTAAAGCAATAACAGGAAACCAGCAAACAGTAGAGGTAATTAAAATGAGCTAAACATGCTGCTCACACATCCATGCATCAGTAATAATATTCCAATATATTTTAGTAAATTAACTACTTTTATTGTTGACATTTTAAGACCATTCAGTCGACACAAAATCAAGTGCGCGACCTGCACACATTAGCGCCTGTTAAAACAAAACCTGAAGATAAATCCGCCGCCGTAAACGCCGTAGACTACCTTTCCCATGACCCTTTGCGCGCCGAGCAGGAAGGACGTTCTCTCGCTAGGGGCTCACACTGATCCAAGTTAGGAGCGTTCAGCTGCCAGCCTTGGCCCATCATGTAACTGCTGCGGAGAATTCTTTGCAGTGCATTTGCAGAATTACCTCTTTGCCCCGACGCCCGCGGGGGCCGTGCATCCGTCACCGCGCGCCCTGCACCAAGCCGCACGCTCCGGACGCAGAAAGGCTCCAAGTGCATGAAGATCGAGGCTCGTAATTTTTGTGCATCTTTTGTTTGCAAAAGCGAGTCGCTCGAAGCTCCAGCGCGAGGGCGATGGAGGGAGGGAGCGAGAAAGAAGGCAAAGTCTTTTGTGCTTCCCCTCCCCCTCATCAAAGCAAAGGGGAAATGTCTCAGCCGAAGGGAGGTAAGAATATGAAACCGATCCGTGCACAAACTACCGACATGCAATCTCTGCTGCACGGTCTGCAACATGCACCCGCTGCAGCCGGTGCATTTTAAAGTTACATGGTTTAGAAGGGGGTCAGTTGCATTTCCTGTTTCACATCTTCCCGTTTGCACAGTTCCTGGTAAGACGATGCTGCGTGTGCTCGCCCCTGTTGACGTTATTAGCGGCGCTCAGGCAGGGATGTCGAGCACAGGGGCGCCTTTAATAGTCACGAGATAGTCCCTCTTTCTAATGAACTCTGCACGAGTTGGTGCACGGCTCGTGCACGTCGCTCAAGGTAAATAATGAAATAGACGTGTGCGTGGTTCTGGTTGCAGGAGGTGCAGCCGGGATTGTGACAGCCTGCAGCTGCCAGGGGTCAACTCTTGAGTGTTTATTGGGTGTTGATTTGCTTCTGCTTATGGGGCAGAAAATGAAAATCTAATAATAGAATTTGTTTATGAGCATTTAAGTGGTGGTGCGTTCAGGAACAGGCTTTAGTCTGTCAGCTGCTGCTTCTGTCCAGGCCCCTGGATGTGTGTCAGACCCCTGATGTCCAGCCTGTTTCTCCTCAGCGTGCATACGAAAAGCGTGCATGTCACACTTTGACCCCGAACTTTACCAGCAGCAGCAGCAGCAGCTCTGAGCGTGTGGAGCAGCGTCCTGCAGCTCTGAAGGCTCCTCACTGAATGCAGCTTTGCAGGACAAAAACAAGCAGCCAGCTGCAGTAAAGAAAGCAGCTCAGGCGCCTTTTTTCTTTTTTTCCTCCCCTTACTGTGTGTTTTCCAAGAAGTCTAAAGTGAGGCTGGTTTATTGCACAACATGCTGAACACACACACACACACACACACACACGCACGCACACACACAGGTAGCAGAGAGAGAGCCCCCGATGGTCGGAGCCTCACAGTGTTTCTGCCCACACAGAGGAACTGTCTTGTTGCAGCCAGTTCATGATGAATAATGCACAGACATTTATTTTGTATTTTTTAGTCTGTGTGTAGATGAATGAGTCGGTTCGGGACTTTCCTGCAGAGCAGAAGTAGGTTTCTGTTGTCATTCATTGATGTGCAGTGCAGGAAGCGCGCGCATGCACACACACACACACACACACACACGCACATACACTCATCTAGAGCTGAGGCCGACAGCAGATTCATTGATTTTTCACCTCCATAAAGTTTTTTGTTTCCCTCGACTCGGCAAACTAGAACACAAATGAGACAAAGGACTTGTGTCCATCAGCTGAACGCTGAGTGATGAAGAAGTGAATTATTAATCAGAGCTGCAAAGATTCGTTTATTACAGAACGACATCTTACAACTGTTGTTATAATCAATTAGTTCATTCTCCAGTTCCTGCTATGTCATAATAGATTTGATATTTTATTTTGTATTGTTTTGGACTGACTGATGATATCACCTTTGTTCCTGCTTCTCCACTCTGAGGATCAGCTGCCATCTTTTCACTTTTACATGATTGTGAACTGAAACTCTTCACATCGTCGGACAAATGGAGCTGTTTTATAAATGATTGATTTGGTTAATTGATTCGAAAAATAATCGTTATTTGCAGCTCCAGACAATATTGATTTTCTCATAACTGCTGAAGGAAATGAAGTTACAGTAACCAGCATGTCGTTGTTACAGTTTAAGTCAACTTTGAACATATGAGAACTAACACGTAATATCATTTGAATGAATTATTAAAACTCAACCCAAGTAACCTGATCCCAAGCTGTCGTTGCTTTAAGGAAGTAAACAGCGTTGTTTTTACGTTGTTTTTACGTTGTTTTGTCGTGTTGTTGAAATCTAAACGTTCCCACACTTTACCTCTCGGGTGGTTTGTTGTTGTGGTTCAGCTTCGATCGCTGGTTTCCTCCTTTTAGTGTTAGCCAACAGAACAACACTCTAGTTTTACTGATCAATTAGTTGTCGACTATTAAATTAATCGGCTACTTTGATAATCCATAAATGGGTTTCGTCATTTTAAATTCCATCTTCTTAAACGTTAAACTGGTTTCTTTCCTCCTCTGGGACAGTAAACTGAACATCTTTAAGTTGTGGACAAAACAAGTCATTTGAGGCTTTTGGAAACATTGATGAACATTTTTATTGGTGATTTTTGTAAACGCTTTTTTCTGCAACCAATGAATGGAAGTGACAGTATTTGGAATGCGTGATGTAGAGACTCTAAATGGACCATAATGTACTAAATGAACATCATGCTGTAGTGAAGAAGACTTGAAACTAGAGATTGAGACCATAAACTCATGTTTACAATGTTTACTGAGGTAATAAATCAAGAGAGAAGTAGTCATTTTCTCATAGACTTCTATACAACCAGAGGAGTCGCCCCCTGGTGGACACTAGAGAGAATGCAGCTTTAACACATGAAGCTTTGGCTTCTCTCTTCAGAACCGGAGGTTGCCGCCTGTAAACCGGATTATAAATCTGATAAACATCATTTTGATCCTGCGTGTAAAGAACACACTGTTCTTGGTACCGAACTGTTACCTGCAGCTCCGCAGACATGAAAGTGTTGTGTAACTTACAACCGCTGAAGGAAATGAGTACAAATCTGCGAAGCTAAAATAAGCGCGGTGTCCTTGTGTTTTATTGAAATCATGCCAGACTGAGTGAAGTCTCTTCTCTCTGCTGCAGGTTTCCTTCTCCTCTCACATCACTGCGCTCAGATGCATGTTAGGTTTTGGGTCTCTAACGCTGCTCTGTGTGTCCTGGACAGTCTTTGTCCTCGTCGTTGTGCGCTCTGCTCTTTATCTGGTCCTCGTGTCCCCCTGCAGCCCCGGCCGGCCCTCGCTCCCCTGCAGATAAACGGAGGCTGCACTCGCACTACATTTGCTGCTTCGACGGGGCCGATTGTTGGTCCAGTTCCAGGCCTGTAGCTGCTTAGTTTTTTCTGCAATAACAGTGGAAATGTTCAGAGCGTTGTTCACATGATCCACTTACTGTACTTCTCTTTTTCTGAGTGGGGGGGGGGGCTGAGTAAGCATGCATGCATTCACTCTGCAGCTACTTCTCTGACAGGACAGCTAGCAACAATATTTAGGACATTTCAAACCTGTGCACAGAGGTTTATGACGCATGTATGAGATGCTTTTGCAGAAAAGTTAAGATCGTGGTCGAGGTCGTGACGGCAGCAGGTTCGCTGCTGAAATGGGGTGGTGGTTGGGGTGGGGGTGGGGGGGGCTGCTGCTGCACCGTAGAACAGTCTGTCACTTCTATGCAGTGGATGCACAATAATGTTCCACACCTGTATGTATGCTGCTTATTCTTTTTTCAAAGCACTCCTATTTTCAGCTTGTGTTGAATAAAACAAATCATCAGCACGTCAGCCGTGACGAGAAAGTGTGTGTGTGTGTGTGTGTGTGTGTGTGTGTGTGTGTGTGTTCAGAAAGAACAGTTGCGTTAAAACCCAGTGGAATGTTTTAGATTTGCATGAATGACTCATCTCATTATACATTTTTGAACAATTGTTTGATTTATTAAAAGTCAGAAAATAGTAAAAAAAGATTTGTTTTGCATTTTACTTGATAAAAGCCTTGAACAATTAATAAATAAACAATCGACTAATCCATTAACATGCTGCCGTCATCCATAGTGACCGTGAAATAATTAGCTATAAATTATAAAATTGTGCTGTATCATTAAAGAGTGCGTTTCGACAGCTGGAGGCCAGTTATAAGATAAGATGGAACTTCTTGTGCCAGAGTTTCATTCAAGATTAAAACTGAATAAAATTGAATAAATATACAAACATGTATGAACAATAGAATAACAGTAATACAATAGTAGTGAAGAAGACTTGAAACTAGAGATTGAGACCATAAACTCATGTTTACAATGTTTACTGAGGTAATAAATCAAGAGAGAAGTAGAGTCATTTTCTCATAGACTTCTATACAACCAGAGGAGTCGCCCCCTGGTGGACATTAGAGAGAATGCAGCTTTAACACATGAAGCTTTGACTTCACTTAATAAAGAACCGGAGGTTGTCGATCAAATCATTCTTCATAGACAGTTGTGGTTACGGACTCTCTCACTACTCTCATATCTTGAACGCAATTCATGAACCATAAAAGAGACAAAACGCACAATAAGCAAAGTTAAAGTTGATTTGACCGCCATCATGGTATAGTGAACATCTCATGTCCTCGCCATCGTGGTCACCGCCTCGAGTTGATCCGAGTGCACAGGAAGTGCAATGCGAGCCGCTGACGACATGATCCCCAAAGCAGCTTCCGACAGCTGTAACCTAATGGAGCGGCCATCTTTGGAGGTGTAGAATATCTCTCACACTGCCAGAGCGAGCCGAGGGAGTTATTTTCAGCCCCCCCTCTCCCTCCCTCTGTCCTGCGTTGAACTCCGTGTTGTCTCTTCCTGTCCTTCCTCGCATCTGTGATTGATCCGTCTTCCTCCGGCTCTGTGGAATTCCATTCAGGGAATTCTTGGGATTGTTGGAATTCCAGAGTGTGTGCGTGCGTGTGTGTGTGTGTGTGTGTGTGAGAGAGAGAGAGAGCGCGCGCAGCAGGCGCCATGTGATCCAGGGCTCGTTATCACGCAGGCTGACCGTCATCTGCCCTCTCACACACACACACACACACACACACGTCTCTGTTTCTGCACCACCCGGCCAACCTTCCCTGTCAGCATTATTTCTCTGCACGGCGAGGCCGATGCGTGCTGTTTTTTCCGGGTGTGGCGGACGCGGGTAGCGCAGACACCCGTCTCCCGTGGCCTCGCTCTGGCATCGCTCCGCACATGTGGAGCTCATGTGCTGGCGAGTCGCTGCACTGATGTGTGCCGCTGCTTTTAATGAACCCACTCCGCCTGACGCGCGCTGAGCTGGGCAGGAATAAAAGGAAGGAATTGTGTGTTTGAGTTATGCAACATGTGGAGAGCGGGATATTTTTAGGTTGATCACTGCGTCTCCTTGTCAGCCTTCAAGTACACACACTGTGTTTAAGTTCAGCTGGAAGTGACTCGCATTTAGTTTTCAGTCACGATTTTGATTTCCAGCGAAGATGATCGTCACAGAAGGATTATTGTGCCCATTGTGTTTCACGATGCTGCTGTCGTGATGTCTTGTGCTACAAATCCAGATCCTTCAATCAGAGGGATTGTTACTCTCTGTACTCACTTTATTGCATTAATATAAGATCTGTAAAGAAGCAATTCAAGTACTAAAAGCATTATAAAGAAGCACAGTTGAATATCCTGTATTTGGCTGCAAAATATTTATCTAAATGTAGATTTTTAAAGCATCTAAAAGTGACATCAGACATCAGTGATGTTTATCAGTGAACGATTTGTCTCAGTCACGTGATGCACCAAGTTAGACAGAATCCGAAGTGCCCGACCAAACGCCCACTACTGCGAGTTTAAACTGAGCTTTAGTGCTCGAGGGGTTAAAAACAACCCGTCTCGTGCTTTGTGGGTTCAACTTTTTTGCTGTGTCGTCACCATTCATATCCGTCCAACCAATGTGTTTACGATGAAACGGTTTACAAGATCACAAAGTTCATCAGATTGATGCGTTGCACTTTAAAACATTTTCTTTCTAAACACACGATGTTTCCAAAGTCAACGAGTTATCATGTTTATATATATATATATAATATTATATTATATATATATATATTTCCATTTAAGAAGAAGAAGAAATCCGTTTACCTAAATAACCACTGAACCGATCAATAATAAATTGCTATTTTTCCTTTAAATCAAAGATCTGAATTCGTTGTAAATCAAAGCGGAGCGCGTTCTCCTTCCAGCCGCACAGATTACATAATCCACTGCCCCCCCCACACACACACCTCCTCTCTTCTTCTCTCGTCTCTCTCTGTCCTTTCTTCAGCAGCAGGTTTCTCCAGCATTGAATCCACTTCTATCCGTTGAGGCTTGCCGTGAGTCTGGTTTGTGCAGCTGTCTCTGCTGCATCACCACAGCAGCATGCCCACCTGCAGCACCGCGCATCGTTCGCCTGTGTGTCTGTGTCAAAGTGGACTGAATGTTCATGTTGAGGTTTGGACCGACGGCTGCAGAAGAAGAGAAGGCGCTGCTGTGGCTCCGTCTCAGTCCCACAGTGACATTGTGTTTGAGGTCAATCCTCTGACAGACTTCCACGTAGAGTCAATGCAGAGAATGCATCGATCGTGTGATGACTTCTGCTGACGAGGCTGCTTGTTGGTCAACAGGTCATGAGTCAGAGTCCAGTGAAGGTCTAGAGGACGGCCAGAGTGAGTCAAGAGGAAAGGATTCGTTTTGGGTGAATGTGGATCCATTGGTGCGGAGCCTGAATCACGCTCTCAACACGTTCCTTTTAGGTCATTTTGTGGACGTTTTAATAAATGTTTAAGTGACGTTGATCCACGTCCTCCTCCAGAACCAGTGAGTTGAGCTCAGACTGCACCAGCTTCAATACGCCAACCGATGTAGAGAATCAGGTCACATCTCCCTCATGAAGAGAGACTTCAGAGACGTTCTCTCTCATATCAAACATCACAACACTAGCTTATAGAATAGTAACTACAGGATATTATTACGATTATTTTGTCACATGGAGCAACCACGGACTGTTTATAAGAAGAGGACGTAGTCATCGTGACGTCTCTCGTTGGTTTGTGGACTTTATGAAGCTTTGAGTTCGGCGAAATTCGCCATCTTGACTTTTCACAACCGGTGAACAGGAAGTGACCATATCTGGACTGAGGAGGAGTGACGTAGAGACGCCGTATACGTCTCTGGTAGAGACCTGTCAATCACCGTGTAGCCCCGCCCTAAAGCATCCCCTGCTTTATGGTCTGTGTGACTCTAAATGGACCATAATGTACTAAATGAACATCATGCTGTATTGAAGAAGACTTGAAACTAGCGATTGAGACCATAAACTCATGTTTACAATGTTTACTGAGGTAATAAATCAAGAGAGAAGTAGAGTCATTTTCTCATAGACTTCTATACAACCCGATTTCAACTCCTGAATATGAAACGTGTTTAAAAGACGAGCAGCTTTTAGTATAAAGGTGCTCATAAATACTCTTCTTCCTTTATATTACTACCTTCAGGACTTCTCATCACAGACACAGAAGCTGTCTGGACAATACATTTTTTATCATATATAATAATAACAATATAAAACAAATAACAATAAAAGAAGAGAACAAAAAGATGTGTTTGAGTAATACTGAGTTGTCGGGTCAACAGAAGAATCCTGTTGGCTTGTTGTCGAGGGAAAGATGGTGATGCAGCTGTGTCATCTCTCACCTCCATTAAGCACCAGCAGCCAATCAGCATGATTCCAGTTTACTGATGCAGATTAAAAATAATCGTTCTAGCATTAAAAGAAACACTCTGAGGAAGTGCGTGTGTGTGTGTGTGTGTGTGTGTGTGTGTGTGTTAGCAGAGAGTGTTGGTTTCCAGTTCCTATTGTTGTCTGTGTGAATGCGTGTAGGAGGGGCTCAGACGGACATTTTTAGTGCAACAAAGCTGCTTTGCAAAGTGCAGCGAGCAGGAGGCAGCGAGAGGCCACCGGTCGAAGACCGCATAGCACAGCAGAGTCACGCCCTGCACTGTTTGAACGAAGCAGGACACTCTGGACTGTGTGTGTGTGTGTGTGTGTGTGTGTGTGTGTGTGTAATATGCCTTCAGGGCAGCTTTTCGACTGACAGATCCTCACAAGACAGCAACGTGGGAATTTCCAGTCATTCCTCTGGAGCCGTCGACACACCTTTAGTTTTACTCTGTGACATCAGAAGGGCGGCGGTCTTAAATATGGCCCTTAAAGCTTTGGTGCGTCAGCTGCTCAGAGCGTCACACACACACACACACACACACACACACACACACATCAGGGGGAAGATCCAACATGGCTGCCCCTCCTTTGTCAGAACAGATCCTAACCTGCGGTTTTACGGCAACAGCTGACTGGCTCGTAGCAGCTCAACCCAGTCTGAGGAGGTCTGAGCCAGATGCTGTGTGGAGATGAGGCAAACACACACACACACACACACACACACACACACACACACACTGAGTCACACCCTTAGCAACCTGTGACGTCCTGTTATCAAGGCGCCCGGCCATTAATCCGCCAGTGCAGCACCTCCAGATGAAGCGAGCACACCTGAGCTGCCAGACCTCCTCCTCCTCCTCGTCTTCTTCGTCCTGCTCTCAGCACCTGTTCCGTGCAGTTAGGAACTGGAGTCGCTCGCTGTGTCCAAGCGTAAGTCAGCGATGAGGCCGCTCGCTGTACCAACATGAAACGTAGGAATCGTAGCCTGGACGTAACGCACGGGAAGCTCTCTGTGTTCGACGGCCGCTGCAGGAAGTTTGAGTCACTCTGTGGGAGTTCTTTAAGTGTCTGTAATCTCTGGACAGAAGCAGCGAGTCATCAGCGCTCTGACATTGAACCTGCAGATACGTGTCACTCAGCACAAGCGTGCCTCGTAGAACAACTAGAATCTGAACGTCAGTAAGGCTCTAACAGAGGTTTCCTTGACTCCGTACATAGATTTGATTTTGTGGTTGAGCTGCAGCAGCTCGTCTGAATAGAGTCGACAGAATGTTCTCATGGTGAGGTTTGCTGCTGCAGAGAGAGAAAGGTTGAGCAGGACGATCCACTGAGCTCTCATCCCGAGAGCTATGTTAAGAAGTTAAGTATGCTTTCATCTGGCGGTGTGCTCGGCCGTCCTCTCTGGAGTCTCATCAGTCGGCTTTCTGCTTCACTTCACTCTCACAGAGGTCTTGCAGGGATACTGAGACGCCGAGCCGTTAGACACAGAAGAGATGCATTCTGGGATTAAAGCAAAACATTTGAATCAAACTATTTTTATGATTTCCTTTTCCCAAATGTTTCCTGCATTTCAGAAAACTGACTCTTTGCAATTATATTGTTTGGTCATTTGAAGAGGTTTAACTGTGATGAGCATTTTTCCCTCTTTAACATTTCACTGATCCGTCAGTAATGAAAACAATCATTAGTTGCAGCCAACGTTTTGGGCATGTTTATATCAAGTAACTTAAAGCTGCTACCAGGAACTTTAACTTAGTGTTGGTTATGTCGCCCCCCTGTGGAATAAAGTGGTAGTGTTTCTGAACACCAGACTCCCCTCTCAGTCCTGGTTCTGGTTCTCCTGGGCCTCCTTTCCCTCCAGCGGGCGCTGAGCTCAGAGGTGGACAATTTCAATAATCGATTGATCGTCTTTAATTAGGCAAAAATAATTCACTGCTTCCAGTTTCTTAAATGTAAAGATTTGCTTCTTTTTATCTGTGTGTGTGTGTGTGTGTGTGTGTGTGTGTGTGCGCGCGTGCGTGTGCGCGCGCATGCGAGTTTTGAGCTGTTGGTTTGAAGATCATAATCGGTTTATGGTTAAGTACGTTACACATACAAGGAATGCGGCTTGGTGATTGATGCGTAACAATATACAAAGTGCAATTTACATCTTTGGATGTAAACTATTAATTAAAAATCAATGAAGTGTTTTTGAAGTTTACAGTTTCACGAAACATGATATCGCGACACCCCCTCGGTCTGACACAAAGACCTTTACACGAACGGTAACACACGTCATATGGTCACATGGTTTCTGTCGAGGTTTTTCTAATGATGTGTTTTGTGTTTCCAGGTAAGAGGAAGCCGGTGCTCAAGCTCCCCAGGGAGGTGTTTGAGCAGCCTCCTCCCGCCGCAGTGTAAGGCTCTTTACTACGTCATGTTCACGGCTTCATCACATCCACGGCTCTGTGTTCATCGTCCCACACCGTTATTAACACGAACATGTTTACTGATCATCTAAGACCCTGCAGTCAACAGGAGGACGTTGAGTGATGCTCATATTATCTTTTCTCATGACGAGTGCATCAGCTTATTCTGGGTATTGGAACTCAAACACAACCGTGAATGCAAAAGTATTCGTTTCCTCACATCACTCCTCTGACATTTGCATCGTTTCAACACAATAAGACTTTATTAGTTACATGTTGTTCCTCCATGAACATCGTCTCCTCGCTCTTGTTATCGTGAAGCTCAAACTGATTCTGAGCGAAACGTTCAGAACGTCTTTCAGTGACTCATCGTCATTTAAAACCTGCAGCAGCTTCATCTCACTCTGTGCACATGTGAGCTTTCATTGCATTCACGTTGTGGAATTATTTTTTATTTCATTTATCTTTTCAATTTTATTTAATTTCAATGAATTTTTTTTCAAATTGAGTAATTTAATTACTTCCTAATTTATTCAATTTTTATCTCTTCAATGCATTTTTCTGACGTGTATTTTCTGCTTCACTGTGTTTTATCAGTTTATCAGTAATAAAATGTCTTTCTGTGTGTTTCAGACCTCCCAGAGATCTGGATTCAAAAGCTTGTGTGACCATCGGAGAGAAGGTAATCTCATTTCTGCACCTTTCCTAATCCCCTTCAGGGAGTCCTCACTCCTCTACCTTGGACTCCTACATGAGTCCTCACTCCTCTTACCTTGGACTCCTACATGAGTCCTCACTCCTCTTACCTTGGACTCCTACATGAGTCCTCACTCCTCTTACCTTGGACTCCTACATGAGTCCACACTCCTCTTACCTTGGACTCCTACATGAGTCCTCACTCCTCTTACCTTGGACTCCTACATGACTCCTCACTCCTCTTACCTTGGACTCCTACATGACTCCTCACTCCTCTTACCTTGGACTCCTACATGGCTCCTCTCTCGGCTCAGTAGAGCGTCCGGTAGCTGTAAAGAACGGCCCGGTGAACATTACAGCCGAGGTGAGCTCTTGTGACTGGGGAGACTGGAATGCCTTTTATCGCCCACCGGGCCGTAACATTATTTATTTTAAACTCATCAAATAAGTGGAATTTTCCGTTGGCTCAGGTTCCTGCGTTGTGTGTGCTGGAGTTGTCCAGAAGTCGAACTGATTTATTGTGTTTGCTTGAGTGAATAAAAGACGTTTAGTGATCCAGACTTCAGAGCTTCTTTACGTTCTGTAAACAAGGTTTTTAATCTTTCGCTTTCTCACAATTCCGTTCAAAATCCGTTCTCCTTCAGTACATAGAGTTGATCATTCTCTCTCTGCCTACCTCAGTCCGCTGCGCGCTAATAAAAGCGGATGAAATGTTTTCATTAATTTAGAAGAAGTGACATCAACTGAATGCAGTAATGTAAACACACACTTAACTGTTGTTCCCTCGTCATGTCCGGAGCAGAACTTCGAGGTGAAGGCCGATGACCTGGAGCAGATCTGCGAGCTCGGCCGAGGAGCGTACGGCGTCGTGGACAAGATGAGGCACGTGCCCAGCGGCCTGATCATGGCGGTGAAGGTGAGTGACGTTCCGTTAGCTAGCTGGCTAATTCCACCATGCTACAGTCACAGAACATAAAGCAGCACCACACGAATGTTGAATAGGTTTCAACCAGTAGTGGACGGTCACTATGTATATTTATAACAATATGTAAAATTCAACTACTGCATATACAACATACACTTATTGGTGTTCAGCTGAACAAAGGGGTTCGGGGGTTTAGTTCCTCTTTAAACAGCAGCGACATACACAAAGAGAGAGAACGTGCATGGAGACGAACACAAAGGCATTAACACCAATGTACTGTGCTTCTGTTGGTCCTCCCTCAGCGGATCCGGGCTACAGTGAACACTCAGGAGCAGAAGAGGCTGCTCATGGACCTGGACATCTCCATGAGGACAGTGGACTGTTTCTACACCGTCACCTTCTACGGAGCGCTGTTCAGAGAGGTAACGCGCTGTAGAGACGCACAAGTATGAGTCAACTAGAGCCTGAACCACAGCGCTGTGTATCAAACCACTATGCTCTTTAGTGTTTGGGCTTAAATGTGTCTGTGGCAAGAAGTATAACCACTGTCGAGTACCAAAAGATAGCCTTGAACGTCTGCTTTCATTCATAGTCTTGTTTACTTCCTCTTTGCTTGGAAAAGGTTCATGATGAATTTAAGAACAAGTATTTAGAAGCTTTGCTTCTTTTATTAACAGAATAAATTAGTTTTGTTCAGAAAATGTTCTTATTTCTCAAAGAAAAATACTGTCGTTTGTATTAGTATAAAAAATGATAGAACCCTGAATACTGGATTTTTGTTGATAAAGATAATCGTTAAAAATCTTAGAGCACTATATCAACCAATACGATCATTAAAAAAACAAGACATAATAAAACGTACTGTGACACAGATATGTGTGAAGTCATTATAATACACTATGATCCTTCCAGTGAGTGATGTGTTATAACACCGTAGTCATTATGAAATGGTTTTAATGTGTGATGATTGTTTTAGAATTATGAATCTTTATTAGTGCTTACACCTATAATTATACAGATCTATAAGCAGATTGTAATGCGTTTTAAGTATGTTTATAATGCCTCATAGAACAACGGTATCTGTGATGAACCGGTATCTGACAGTGAGTCCGGATCTCCACAGAAACCTCCAGAGTGTATTAATTACGAACACCTGTGGAGACTGTCGGACGCAGACAACTTCCTGTTCAGGATTTCCTCGTTTTCACTCTAAACACTGTAAAAAACAATCTGTTGCTTCCCGTCCGTCTGTCTGGAATGCGTCCTGCTGGTTGGTGTTTTTTTTTTGTCTCTTTCCAAATGTGTCTCGTCTGTTTCCAGGGCGACGTCTGGATCTGCATGGAGCTGATGGACACGTCCCTCGACAAGTTCTACAAGCAGGTGATCGAGAAGGGCATGATGATCCCCGAGGACATCCTGGGAAAGATCGCCGTCTCGGTGGGTTCGCTTAAAAACTCTCACGTTAGCTTAATGACGCGTATTTGTTACGCAACTCTCTAATGAACGGGCTTTTTGTTGTTACAGATAGTAAAAGCTTTGGAGCATCTGCACAGCAATCTGCAAGTCATCCACAGAGGTAAGAGTCTGAGTGGGAACCCGTTAACCCCTCAGAGACCGTGTCAATATCCACGGAGGTAAGAGTCTGAGTGGGAACCCGTTAACCCTCTCAGAGACCGTGTCATTATCCACGGAGGTAAGAGTCTGAGTGGGAACCCGTTAACGTGTCAATATCCACTTCTGTGATGCATCGTCTCTCGGCTGCTTTCTGCTCTCATCAGAGGACGACACCGGCGTTTCAGCCCATTAGCTCAGAGTCACACTGCTGTTTGTTTAAATGTTAAACCTATTTTTCTTCTGACCTTTCAGGCAGCCATTGATTTCCATTCATTTCTGTATGACATTACAAGTCTATCAGCAGACTCTTGGAGCTAGCATGAGTCATTTAATCCATTACAGTGAGTGAACATCAAGTCGAAGTTACGTTATGTGATCTCCATTAAAAGCTGCGTTTATCGATACGATTGTATGAAGGACGGATTAAATCCCTCTCAGCGGTGAACTCGCGGATGATTATCTCTCAGATCCTTGTTTTCGGTTTCAGTTCCCTCTCTGCGCTTTAATCGTGACAAACATCAGACAGACAGTCAGAGACGAGCTGGTGAACATAGTGCAGCGTTCAGAAGCTAAAGAGACTATTTTCATCCACATATGTTGAGGTGAGAAGGTCAAGGGACCCCTGTGAATATGGCCATGCTGGTTTGAATTTTCAACGTCCTTCCCGACAAGCTAGCACCACATGGTTGGTACCGATGGATTCATTCGGACGTCTAGTTTCATAGCGAACCAATGCCTCTAGTTTCAAGCTCGAGGCCTGTTATAGCTTGTGAGAGATGGTGATAGAGGCGTCCCAGAGAAGTTTAAGAGGGAACATTGACATTTAAAGTTTGGGTTTCACACAACTCAAGCATGTTTCAAGAGCCTGCATATTGATCTCCATACCATGCAGAAATAAATGGAAAGATAGAAAAAACACTTCCAGACTGTACAGCCTTATTTGAATAGTCAGCAAAGATGAACTTGACATTATCTGTAGCCGAGTAGCTTTAACTTGTAAGTTACAGTCGCAGTTTATAATTATGGTCCTTTAAGAGTCGATGCTTCCTGTGTGGCTCGTGTTGCGTCACTACTTCATGAAAGATTATAAGTGACAGAAGTAAGAGTCACACAGTCTGTGTTCACCAGAGAGCAGCTGTTCTGTGAGGAACCACTAAAGCTGCTGCTCGTCGTGTCGTCTTTCTCTCCGGTTGCAGACGTGAAGCCGTCCAACGTGCTGATCAACACCCAGGGTCAGGTGAAGATGTGCGACTTCGGCATCAGCGGCTACCTGGTCGACTCCGTGGCTAAAACCATGGATGCCGGCTGCAAACCCTACATGGCGGTAAGCAGGAAAACAAGTGAAACTTCATTTTAAAGCAAGTGACCATGTGAAAGGAGTCTCTTATAGTGATGAACCAGCAGAGGATGATCAGCTGAGTCTTTATAGTGAGTTCAGCTCATTAATCTGTCCGGCTTCACTTGTCTGTCTCTTATTATCATCCACACATTTAATGGACCCGGTTACATGTTACATGGAGAGGTGTGTGGGTGTGTGACACCAAAGAGTTTATGATGATACAGAGGAGTGCAGGTCGTCCTCAACAACCGCTGCCGTTAGTGACGTCCTCCTTCCTTGTGTCCCTTCAGCCGGAGAGGATCAACCCCGAGACGAACCAGAAAGGCTACAACATCAAATCTGACATCTGGAGTTTAGGAATCACGATGGTAAATCAGCTTAATGTCTTTTTATTCATCATGTCAGTGGGTTTTAATATCTTTGTCTCATTATTACAGAAGTACGTGAGGGGTGAAAACGATTCATATTGAATGTCTCGTTCTATGAGGCACGGCTCTCGTCGAATCACTGTCGTGTCTAGACGTTGTTATTATGAGTCGTTAAATATTCAGAGCTGTCTCATTTGCAAGTTTCCAACTTGCAAATGAGACGTCCCATCGTAGGACGCCGGCTCGTCCTCCTCTGCTTCTTGTTCCGGCTTTTAAAGACGAGCAGCGAATGTTCCAGCACACGAGTGTTTCTAAATGATGGAGGTGAAAAAAGAAAGAAGTTTCATTATGAATTCTTAAGTCTTAGCTCTGAGAGATCAGCACAAAGTGAGCAATCAGTGCGAGGAATCAAACACACTTTGGTGTCAAACACACTTTGAAACGTCGTCTCGTCCGTCACTGCTGGACGTGATGGTGATGAATCACCACCTTAGTTTTAATGTTCTCGGCGACGTCTCTTTCAGATCGAGCTCGCCATCCTGCGCTTCCCGTACGACTCGTGGGGAACGCCGTTCCAGCAGCTGAAGCAGGTGGTGGAAGAACCGTCGCCACAACTTCCTGCCGACCAGTTCTCCCCCGACTTCGTGGACTTCTGCTCTCTGTGGTGAGCGTGTTTATTTTTCTTAATTAGCCAGGAAACACTCAGTTCCACATTTTAAATTCTTCTCTCTAACATTCAGGGCTGAGCTCTTCGCTCTTTAAATAAGTAGTTGTTGTTGTTCTGACAGCTGAAGCTCACTGTGACGCTTTATTCTGAAAAACATTTAAAATAGTTTAAAAACGAGCCGTCGTTCACGAGTCCAAGTTGATGCTTTGGTCCGAGCGACAGCTCAAAACTCAAAGATGTTCAGTTTGACAAACTAAAACTTGCTGAACTGGCTTTATCCAAAGTTCACATTTCTGTTCTAGAAATGTGTGAAAATGAGCACATATTTGATAACATAATGCCTCATTTGCATATTTAAACATAACATTTCAGAAAACTTGTAATACAATAAATAATTGACTTAGATTGAGTACATAGTGAAATCTATTTTGACCCTTTTCACCTGAGAGTAAAAACGAATTTGTATGTTTTGAGATTACAGTTAGTCTGAAGGCTGAGATCAGTGCTGATGTGTCTGTGATGAGCTGCATCTGTTGTGAATTAATGATTTTTTTGTTTTTTTGCTTCTGCAGCTTAAAGAAAGTTTCCAAAGAGCGGCCGACCTACACAGAACTCATGGTGAGTGTTCCATCGATGGAGCTCCTGTAACACCGTTAGTCAGACACCAGAGGGCGCACTGACACCAGCGTGTGAACGTCCTCTCCTCATAGAACACGAGCTAGACTAGCTGAGATGCTGCAGAAATCATTCAAGGATGATTTATTGTCATTATGCAATGTAGCTCGTCTGTAACACAACAAACTCATGACAAACAAAACCAAACCAGTCGGACATTCCTGGAGAGCATTGTTTGTGTTTGGAGTCCTGCTCTCTGTCCGCCCGTCAAGTGCAGCTTGATCCTGGACCACCATGGATCCAGGTCTCTGTGAGGATGTGGGCTAAACAGTCACCGACCTCCCGCTGCTGTCAGACAGCCAGGATGCATGCTGGGTAGTGGAGTAGCCTCGGGTCCTAGCTGGGTTAGCTTAGCTTCCATCTCTCCTCTCTGGGAGTCAAAGTGATATTGGACAGATGTTATGTAATGTTGTCTGGCGTCGTGTTTGTGTAATCGGACTAAATGAATGTCGTCTTCCTTCCTCAGCAACATCCTTTCTTCACGTCCCACGAGGCCAAAGAAACCGACGTGGCCAGCTTTGTGAAGGTCATCTT